TAATAGTTCATAATAAGATAGACTTCGTGGCAAGCTTTTTAAAATTTACAAATATTATGTCTTTTGTATTTCTGAATGTATCGCCATGGCAGACAGGTTAGGTTAAACATTTTTTCAGTTTCACAAAAAAATGCCTGGTGTTACCCTGAAGCACTGGGACTCATGAGGACTCAAATGGTAAAAAACAGCATCAGACTTTGGATCCAAGAAGAAACAAGCTAGATCCCAAATGTAGATGTTCAGCTAGATCCCTATATGCAATCTTTTAGCAACAGCATCCACAGAGCTCCTCATTCTGTTGATGCTTTGTTTGCCAGCCTGGTGGACAGAGCATAAGCAAAATAATGTCTCTTTTGACTCAATTGTACATTACAGATTGATTTGCAGTTTCACTGGTTATTTCATGGTACTATTTTCATTATTTTTTTTCATTATTTTCTACTATTTGGTACTATGGTACTATGTGGTAGTTAGTACCATACTAGTACTAGTACCATAGTACCTTGGTACTATTTTCATTAATATTTTGCCTTTGGTGTTTTTTTTTTTTAAGGGAATAAGTTGCATAATTTTGCGTAGTCTTGTAATCACATTTATGTTTTGGTAGAAAAGTGAAGACCAGTATTTTTTATTTCTGATTTTGAGTCTTGGATAAATAAATGCTCAGTGGTATGCAGCACTTGGGGTCATCTGAAAGTAAGGAAGGAAAACTTAGGCTGCTGAGTATGTAGATAGATAATGTAAATAGGCTGACACTGGTTACAATGGCAAGCTTGGAGCCTCAGAAATAAGAATTAATAGAAATAGGATATCTATAATTCAATAGATTTAATTAGTTTCATTATTTTCCAAGCTATGGTGAGAACAGTTGAATAAATAAATGAATAGAAAATGTCATATTAACAGGTATTAAATATAAAAAGAAATTATATACCAGCTTGCAAATGTGTAATGAAAAACAACGGGGTATCTACAATGAAAGTGAAACAGAACTCATAGGCTTTAGATCTAAAGTTGCGGACAGCTGTCAAGTGCATGACTATTTGGCCACTATGCGAAATGTTCTGGCAGGATTCCACCGTTACGTCTCTTGGCGAGCTGAATAAGTCAATGTATTTCCCTAGAGAAATCAATTCATGACAGCTTGAAGAATCAGCTATAAAAACTTACACAACTCACATTTTTTTTTCATGGTCAAGAGCTCCAGAAAAACCCAATTGCCAAATTATGCTTAAAGTTACTTAAAAAAAAAAAAAAAAAAAAAAAAGACTAAAGTAGCCCCACTACAGTGAAGATGTAGTATCAGCATTTTATATAGGTACTTTCACCAAGTTGCCTGTAAGAACGTATGAAAAATGTCATGAAGCGCAATGAAAGCCACAGTGTGCTCTGCTGGCCTGGTTTGAAATGGGTGACAGTGCTCTGGCTTCTCTTAAAGCACTATACAGAATGAGGAGCTCAGATGCAGGACATCCTGCTCAGATGGAATGAACTTTGGCTCTTGATGGCTTTTAATTCGCTTCCCTTGAACTCATGACTAATTAATCAAGACTAACCTATTATCTAGATGTTTCACCTGCGCTTTCTTTCTCTCAGTAATTTGAGAGTGGTTTCTCTCCCCTCTTCTAGGCTTAGCCCAGTTGGTCCTCTTTCATGCTGTTTCCATTTTGCTTGATGAAAGGCAGTGTTCTTTCTGCTTATTGCCTTTTGCTGACAACCTAGCTTGAGAAGAGATACTTCTGGGATAGAACTAGATGTTTCTGATTAGCTAGACCCGCTGGGAAATGAAAGAGATGTAGCTTCCTTGTACCTTGCGAATTATAATTGATCAGCTTCATTGCTCAGTGTTTATGAAATAAAACTTTCATGCTTTGACCTATAGCAGTGTTTGGGCTGCCAAAACATATTTATGTGGAAATTCCTGGCAAGACATGAAAATTGTGCCAAATGTGGCAGGAAAAATAATTTCTCCTTGATTTTCAAGAAGAGTAAACACATTTAATAGTGCTTACTATATTGTTGGAAAGATTCCCTATAATCTACCTAAAAATATAATTGCACATGGGTAAAGTGTGACTATGTTAGTCTGACAAATACACTAATTTTAACTTCATTACCAAAAAAAAAAAAAAAAAAAAAAAAAGGTTAATATTCAACTCAGTGTCCCATCATCCATTTTACACTTGAAGTGATTCAGCAGTAGCTTGTGAGTGGAACAGCATATTTTCCTGTCAGCTTCTTCTTACTATTAAGGTAACACGATGATACAATATGCCTCAAAACCTAAGTAATGGTTCATCTTTTATGTGTGTCCTTTTCACATGGTTCATCTTTTGTGTTTGACACAAATTAATCTAATTATGCAACTATATAGTTGTCATACTGCACATGTGTCTGTACAGACTTGAAATAAAGTCGTGGCACTTACTTGCCAGCTCTTGCTCTTACCTAGCCTCTCTTTGCACTTTTTAAAGCCACTAAAATGGAGCAAACCTCCACAAAGTGTAGTGTGCTGTGGAGCTGACAAATTGGATGGGCTCAGGGTGAGTGAAATATGAAGAGCTGCAGAGCTGGTGCGAGGATGGGACAGGGCCATAGGGCTGGCCAAGAGGGTACAAGGAACAGAGATGCAGGTGGGAGTGAAATCTCACCCTTTTAGCAGCAGTGAGCTGCTGGATGGGCTCAGCTACCACTTGCACTATGCCCAAAATATAAACATAGCTTCAACCAGTTATAAAACACTACTGGCAATAGTGCAGTGGGAGGATGATCAACGCTAGAACAAATAAATAAATAATCCTCTGCTCTTGAATTTTTGAGAATTTTTGCTTCCTTTTTAAAAAATATTTTTCTTCCTTCTTCTTGCTGTTACTACAGCTCATCCATTATACCATGGTGACTGTCTGCTTTGTAACTGGCAGAGACAACCCACAAAAATGCGATAATCAGCTAACAGAATCACAAGATTGGATTATGGAGTAACTCATGAATATATGCTTGGAATATCTCTTAAGCTGCAGTTACAGTGTGGTTTGCAATTTAGGGTGGCCATTTAAAGACCTGATCAATCTTAAAATTAGCTAGCTCCTCTAATAAAACAGTTTAGCTACTACAACACCGTACTTGCACGAAATGATTTGCTCTTCCATCATGCTCAGACCGTTTCCACTGCTTGCGTCAGCTCGAGTATCTCTGATTACTCGGTAGACACCTGGCATCTACTTGTGAATCCTGTTTTCCTTTTGTGAACGTGCTAACCTTTTTGAAAGTAATGTGGTGTGACAGTAAGAAGAAATCATAGCACAGCAAGAATGTGACACCTAGTGGACGGAATGTGTTCTGGAGAGGTGTCAGAATTGTCAAGGAGTAATAGCATTAAAACCTTACCAGGTATAGCAGTTTGCTAACAGCAAAGACCTTGATCTTGAATGACTTTCTGCACAGATACATAGTAATTAGGTAGCAGAAATCCCCCTCTGGAGGCTCAGAGGTGAGAAAAGGGTTAGAAATCATTTTAAAAGGAGTTTTTTTGTTAACTACTGGCAGAACGAAATTACCATACCAGGATGGCCAAGGCTCTCAAAAGACCAGGACCAAAGCCTATGAAGAAACTGGGAATAATGAGATGCACTCAAACAGGAGACTTGCTACATGCAGAACTCAGGGATAAAGTATGCTTAAAAAAGTGAGTTTTTATCATGCTTTTGTTATTGCCACATTACCTTGGCATGAGGTTAATTTTCACAACCCAAATACTCAGTGATGAATAAACCACCCCATGGAATCAACTGGACAAGGCTGAGACACAGTTTAATAAATCTAATAAATTCTGCACAAATTAGCTGATGCAGAACTGCTTGTGTTTGTGTCTGTTTTTCTGCAGTGCAGTCCGTAGTACCAGAATTTCAAGTATTCTCCGTCTTCTGGAGTGTCCCAATTCCTTACTGCTCATTGGGTGTAATAAAGTAAAAAGATAATCACCAGCAATTATTTTATTTATATATGGATTTATATATATAAGACCATACTTTTTCACTGTAGATTTTTTTTAATTATACATATTTTGAAATGCTCTGAGAAGTACATATTAATCAATAACCAGATGCCAGAGGAAAGCTTGTCACTCTGGCAGGGCAAGTGCTCATGCTGGCCCTATACACCGCTCGAAAGAACCTTGAACTGGGAGCTTTATCTGTATTGCTGATTCTAATGGATTAGCTAAATGAAACTGTCTTGTAGCCGACTGGTTTGTGCAAGGCTCATTTTACCTGCTATGCTTTTATAAAGCTACTCTTGGTAGTTCAGAGCCACCTGCCCTGTTGGGCTGTGTGGGGTTGTTCCTATTTAGCACAAACCAGCAAGACAAGCGCTGGGCTACGCCAAGCCAGTGCTTTTCAGATGCTTGGAGACAGTTTAGGTCTGTGTGCATTGTACAAACCGAATTTGGGGAGATACTGAAGTCTCTCGTATTTTCCAAACAAAACAAAATGCACTACGGAGAACCTGGAGCTGAAAAATACAGTCAAAGGCCCAGCACAATGGCCAGTCATAGCTTGCTAATTTGCTCTTCAGCTTTAACACTGATATTTTGCAGTCACTTTTTTTTTTTCCTCTTGGCCACAAATGGGCACATGGAAAACGAATTACACTAGTACCAGTATCTTGATATCACAATACTAGAAATGCCCTTTTTTGGCAGTAGAAAATGGTGTTATAATTAGCCCTACATTTATTACTGTGAATAACCTCGCTATGGAGCAGSRRGGKRGRSRGGSRGSGKSGGGGSGGGGGGGGGGGGATTGCGGGGCAGCCAACGGTCGCCAACGGTCGCCAACGGTCGCCAACGGTCGCCAACGGCCACGACACGCGCACACGGCGAAGGTGGGGCGGGAAAGCCCCCCATGCAGCCAATGGGAACGCCCGCTGGCTGCTGGTGGGCGGGGCCACGCAGCGCCCCGCCCGCCAACGGCCGCTCCCGGCCGCCCCGCCCTGCCCTGCGGATGTGGAGCCGGGAGGCCGCGGTGAGTGGGGAGCGGGCGGGTGAGCGGCCCTCGCTGTCTGCACTGCCGCCGCCGCCGCCGCCGCCGTCGGGGGAGGAGCCACTTCCCCCTAACACTCGCCCGCCCACCGCGGCCTGCGTCGCGAGGCGCCCAGAGCCCGCAGGCTTCGGTGGCGGCCAGGCTGGGCCTCGGGGTTTGGGGTGTTGGGAGGGGACGGCCTGGCCGCAGTGAGGTCCCGGCCCCGCGTTGTGTGTGTGGCGGGGGAGCGGGGCGACTTCTCTCCAGCTCCCTTAAAAAGCGGGGGAGGGAGCGCTAGGCTCGCGGCTGAGATTGGGGCTTGGGGCGAGAAGTGGTGCTGTGGCCTCCTGCGGCGGTCTGGGCGCGGGTTTGGGGCAGGCTCCTGCGGGCTCGGTGCCCGCCGGTCCCCGGGTTGTGTTTCCAGGCGCAGACTCCCCCTGCTCCATCCGCGCCGCTGCCCTGGAAGGGGCTTTGCTTCCTTGGTGCTCCCTGTCTGTGCCAAGATGGGGCTTTGGCATCTGAAGGGCCCCGGCAAGGCCTGTTCTCTGTGGGAAAGGTGGAGCAAAGAGGGAAGAGAAAATAAAAGTGTTTTGTCCCTATTCTGCTTTTTTCTACATCTGTGATAACGTATGTTGTGCGTAAGAATGAGCAGGAAACACCAAATTATATCCTACAGAGTGTGCTTGGTAATGTGTATGTTTACTCAGACTAATTTGTGGTGTCACTCTGTGTGAATTCAAATACATAAATTCAAATAAATTCAAATAAAATTCAAATAAAGAGTGCTGTAGCCCTGATTTTGGTTTCAGTACCAACGAATTTAAAAAGAATAAGCCACAAATCCAAATCACTATGAAAGCAAAGTTTCCTGAATAGCATAGTGTTTACGCAAAGAACATGTGCAAAAGAGAACAGTACTCTAAAGGGATATGATCAATAACAACTGTAACCATAAGTATGGTTAATTAATAACATTCTTCAAAATGTAATTCTGAAATTCTAAAATTCTTCAGAAGCTACACTATGATCAATGGGGCAAGTATTACCTTTCTTGAAAGAAAACAGGGCTGATTACGGAAAGTGATTTACAAAGGTGGAGTAACTTACCAAGACAACATAATGAATCACTGACATAATCACAATACAAAGTCTAATCATTGACTATATTTACATTTGTCTGAATCATCCTACTTGTGCAGATTTGCATCTAAAATGTAATTTTAATATTTTATTAGTTTAATGAGTGCTTTTATAGATTGTATTGCTTCTGTAGATCTGTACACTTGGGTTCAAAAGTGTAAATCCAAATGCTGCAGAAGTGTGTGCATATAAACCTGCCTGCAAGGGAAACTAGAAACACGGTTGAAATTGGGAATGAAAAATTCTTTGCTAATCAAAAGCAGATAGACATGTCTTTATGATAAGTATTCATTTAAAGAATGATGCTACAGCATAAGTTCTTTAAAATATTGGGGATTTTGATTTTTCTGTGAACTGTATATGAATAACTGTTACAAAAAGTCACCTGTGTACTTAAAGCAAAATACTTAGATACTAAGTAATTTCATTCTTTTGCACAGGAGAAAAGTGGTTACAATCAAAGACACTGAGTAAAAATAGTGAAGTTCACAGCAGGGAAAAAAAAAAAAAACAAACCCCCTTCCACTCCCAGCCCCTCCACTGTATCGTGTGCCCATTCATTTGCTGAGCACAAATGTGTGATTGCTCCTTGCCACAGAAAAGCTTTGGGCTGCTTAGAGCAATGCTGAATATTACTTTTAATATGGGCATTCTTGTTTTGTTTTCATACTTAGCAAGCTCTCAAAAGATGAAGGAAAGCTGGTCTTCCTTAGACAACTTTGAGCCTAACTTCAGGCCTCTGGTAGTAATTGAGCTTGCAAAAAGCACCAAAGACGAAACTAGAGAATGGCTCACAAGAAGAATTTCGGACAAAAAGGCGAATGGAGGTGAGTAAAATGTGACTTCTGTACGATTTGGAAATGGGGATGGCTCTTGTTATAATCTCAAGACATATAGAAAGTAAGTTTTCAGTTAATTATTTTTTAGCCAGTCACACTTTATTTTGCTGTTTTGAAGTTACTTAATTTTGTTCAGAGTTTCGGACTTGCCTTCATTGAATTATTTCTTTCAGTACATTATCCTGGTGGGTGAGGTAGTTTTGAGTTCTCGTGTGATGTTTCAGGGTTTGATTTGTCTTCATGCTTGTGTCATGCAAATTTACAGAACTAACACTGCGAGTGTTGCAGGAATAGATCCACACTGTCCTGTGTGTCCCAGTACACTGTCTCTCAGTACTCCCATAGAAACGGGTGAATTAGGGAGGGGACCTTTCAAGATCCTGAACACCTCATGTGTTCAGGATTCTTATTGTACATCAATTCTTATTGTACCCTTATATAGTTACAAAGTCAGTCCTTCTGATAACTAGAGTCTATGCTTTGAGATGTAACTTTTATATTTTATTTTTTCTACAGGTGCACAGCTACTGGTTAAACCACTAGTCACAGGGGATGGAGACCAAAATATTTACCTCGTGGGAGCTTCGCACTTCCGGCTGCTGCTGGGAGCTGAAACTGTGGGTTTGGTGAAGGAATGTACTGATAACTCAATGAGAACTTTTACATACAGCAGTCGAAAAACTTTCAAAGGTTTTGCGGGTAAGTATTTCTAGGGCTCTTGTGTCACTGCAGATTTATGGTTACAAAAGTCTGTAACCAATTGTGGTCTAGAAAACCAATTGTAACCAATTGTGGACTAGAAAAAAAAAAGTTGATGAACATGAGTGCAGGATTAACAGTCCATGTTATAAATTAAACTTACAGCTCCATTTCTTAAAAAACAAAAAAACTATGAATCAATTTTGGGATTTATTATACTATGACTAGCTGGGGAAAGATAGTAATATTTTTCTCTACTGTGCACAAAGCTTTTACATTCATTGAGTGTGGGGCAAGATTAGCAGAGAAACATTCCTTTTCCTTTTTAAACTGGTAATGTTGTTAAAATGGTATCTTTTTCCTTTAAAAATGCCTCCTGCATGATACCTGACCCGCTTGTGTAGTAATGGTGGAACTGGTTTTGCTCTCCAGTATTGGAGCTCCAGATTAGCTTTTTGAATACTTTCAATTTACCTACTTCAGTAACTTCTTTCACCACATTTTCAATAGAAAGGCTTTTGGTTCTATCTGAAACAGCAATAAGGATTTTTGGAAGTTGATTTTCGTTAGTATTGCTTGATTCCAATTTATTCAGCACTACTGTTGGAAAGGCTGCTGAGTCCAGTAATTGCTGGAGTGTGTTTTCTTTTGTGACCTTGCTCTCCTGAAATTAGAAAGTCTAGATATATCTGGCTGGGCCAGATATAAAGCTCCCATCTGTGTTTCTTCCATGCATTCACATTCTTAATGCTAATGTGAGTGTCACTGCTACCTGATCTTCTAGTAGCAGCTGTGACTCCCAGCTAACATACAAATCAGAAGTCATTTTCCTTCCAGTCTCTTTCACTCTCTCCCTCTTTCTTTTTTTTTTTTTTTACTTTTTTTTCCTTTTAACAGCAACATCACTTAAGTTTTGTCTAGATTGTTTCAGGCAGCTAGTTTTTGCTGGCTGTCTAATGTTACCTTATCAAAGGATAAATAATTGACATGGATTAGTTGAAACATTACATGTGTCATCCACAGAATGAAACTCTGTACCCTGTGTTTTCTTGCTAATATTTCTAGTTCTCCAAATTAAATACTATTGAATTATATATTACTGTTTATTATTTTGTTAATTAGTGTATTTAGGATCATCTGTGCTCTTATTAATTATTATAGCTCATTCTCAATCTCGTTCTTATAGCTAGGACATTAAAAAAAATCTATGGGTTGCTATCTCAAGGAAACTAGACTGCTTCCTTGATGATAAATTTCTAAGAATATTGTTGCTGTAGCTCTTTAAAATTTGTGATTTTTTTTCCTAAAGTTTCTTATCATTTCACCCTATTTCTATGTTTTTATCACAGCTAATTGTCTCAAGTGCCTTATCATTATGCTACTAGGCAGTAGGTAACAAGATAGACTTTCTGAGACTGCCAAATAGTGGGTACCTAAGTAACAGGGCAAGAGTATGTAGTAGTTTCTAAGATATTCTCCCAGCTTCCAGCAGTTTCAAGTTCAAGGTCATCTTTGTCTCTGAGGGATATCTTCCCTTAATTTACCTGTGCAGTCAAACATGCAGCAAGTTGGTTAGGGAAAGCATTTTCTTAGTATGTTCATTCTAAGTTGCTAGCAAAAATTGGTGGGCTGTAATTGTGTCACATAGTAATGTCTTTTCTGATTGTGGTTATTTTTGGTATTTCGTTTTTGCAAGAGTTGTTTTACTATGCCGCAAAATTTCATTATTTATTTTTTGATTTAGATGATAATCAGAGTTTCCTTACAATGGCAGAATGTCAGTATATCATCAAACATGAACTTGAAAATTTGAGAGCTAAAGACGAAAAAATCATCCCTGGCTATCCTCAGGCAAAGTTATATCCAGGGAAATCAATTGGTAAGTAATGTAGCTTATCGATAACTCACTCCCTTGACTTAGGAGATTGTTCATGGTGAAAAGAATTTAAGTGAAGACAAATCCTTCAGACTTCGAAGTCACGCTAACGTTATTCAACTTCGTTTTTTCTTTATGGAACTGTGTACAATGACACAAGACAATCGACGTGTTTAAAAAGAAGGAATTCCAAAAAGGCACTAAGAAACTATTTTTTATAGTGAGGATAATCAAACATTGAAACAGGGGCTTGTTGTGGAAATTCTTTTCTTGGAGAATCTCTCCACATCAAGACTGGACGAGGCCCTGGGCAGCCTGATTCAAGTTGGACCTCATCTGAGCAGGGCTTGCTACCTGGAGGCCTTGCAGAGGGTCATTCCAAATGGAGATTTTCTGAGAGACTGACTCTGTTCTTAGATACTTTTCAGTTACTCATATTTTTCAAGTATGTTGGTGTCATCAATTGGTACACAAAATATTTGTGTAAATAAATTTCTTTAATGGTAAAGCCACAAGATATAGCTGAAATAAAAATATTTCCATTCATGGCTAAGTATTTACTTTTTCTGTGAGTAGATAATGACTTGTACTTGCTTCTTTTTGGAGTAAGAATTATAATAGTGTGAACTATATTTACTGTCCCAGGGTAGATTTGTGACCTGCTGAGGATGGAAGGGGCATGCCATGAACCATCCTATTCAGTGATGTTTATATTAGATAATGGTATATTTGGATTGTCTCCTTGTAGAAGTATTGGAATTGATAATAGTGTTTCAGAGCTACCAGTTTCACAGTATAAAGGAAGATTGATTTCATTCACTTCATTTCATTTATCCTCATCCTCAGCTTTGGTTTGAGAGCTCTTCTGTTTGACAGCTAGTACTATTTTTAGGGTGGCTGGAATAGTCCATTGGCACAGATGTTACAATTCTCCAAGAGCCACTTTATCACTTAATATCTCTGGGCCGTTTTGATAAAAGTGTATTAAATCATTAGTGTTAGTTGCCTAGGTAGGCAGTGTCTGTGAATATCAGTGATTCAAGAAAAGCATGTAAATATTAGATATCAGATGAGTTTGCATTGTTAGCTTTTTATAGAGGCAGGCATTTTCATCTAACTGCTAATGTCTCCCCTGTCCTATTTTTGAATTTATTTTCTTTTCAGTATTTTCACAGTTGTTACTTTAAGAGCAGTTTATTAATGGTTTATCAGCATAGATAGTATTGCTAGCAAAAGCTAAACACAAGTTGTAGAGTATTGGTGTTGTTTCCAGCAGAGTTGCCTTGCAATTTACAGATTAGTATGAATTGATCATTCAAAAATGTTTTTAGTGCTCTAAAGTAAATATAATAATGGTGCTTGCATTTTAGTCTTTGTTTGATATTTGCTATTTTAGCTTAGTTTGGTGTATCTTCCTTTGTTCAAATGTAATAACCTGACCTAATAATTAGTGAGGTAAAAGTTTCCCCACATAGCCATACGTGCTGTGTGAGTTTTGACCTGTAGCACTGCTTGTTACTCAGGCTGCAACTGATGATAGTACCAGCTTTTGTCATAGTTGTGTATAGATATGTAAAGACTATTCTTTTTCTTACAGCGAACAGCACTTCAACATACTCTTTCTAGAAAAAAAGTAAAACTCATGCTGTCTTTAATAGATAATGTTTAATTAACATGCAGGTATTTTATGTACTTCAAAGATCTGAATACTTAATTAACTTTTATTCAAATAAATTGTAGGTTTGCTAAGTATACAGTATAATCCATTTGCACACACATTAATTTTGCTTTGCTTTAATGGTGTGCGCTTTTTTTAAAATAATTATTTTCTTCTAGTGAGAAGATTATTGACCAATGGTATCCTCATTCAGATTTTTCCACTGCATGACCAAGAAGAGTTGAAGAAGCTTCGGCACACCTGGTATGGTCGAGTCAAAATTGGCTATCAGCCTTTAGGTATGTGAACATTTACTCCATTGCAAATAAAGTGCAAGGAGATTTTTTCTGTTCAGATTCTGTGGGAAGGCCAAAAACCATTCCCAACTTCTGCTCCATCACATAGCTACTAGAGAAGCAACGCTTCCATTGCCTGTAGTTTTACTATGTTATGTCAACTTATTGACTGCAGCTCATCTCTTCTAGTATCACCTTTCTGCAGTAAGTTACTTTATTGGGCATTGGACATTCGCAAGGATTTTTTAATGCATGGCCTTAGGAATTCTGTGCCTTAAGTCTTTAGTTATATTTTCATAATTTTGGGGGGCAATTCGAAGTCTCACCATCTGCAGTGTTACCCTGTCTCATAGCACTGAATCTTAAGATATAAGAAGGAAGAAAAGATCTTGTATAATCGTTCCCCTTGAATGAAGGGGAGCAGGGAAGATGCAGTCTGCAAAGCTGAAAGACTTCCTGGAATTGACTTGGACTAGTAAAGGAGAAGAGCAGGGGGTTGAGACCCAGTACTGACCAGGTTCTTTTAGATATTCCACATGTGAAGGGTGCAAAGTGTGTCTACTATTAGATTTAATTATTTGAAAATACTTCATGTTACACAAGATTTTGAAAAATCCCAAAAATAGGAAAACAGAGATTTGGGAGTTGGCCTGGGTCTTTTCCTAAGAGACCTTTTTGAGGTCTTTTCCTAAGCTATAGGAAGTTAAAGATCTATCTCAGTAATGCCCTGCCTCCACAGTATTTAATTGTAACTTGTCTCTTGTTTACACAGTGGAGTTTATTTGAAAGTTCATGGGTATTCAGTACCGATCAAAGTAAATCACAGAAACCCTGTTATACATGCACTGATTTAGGGACCTCTTTCATGTGATGTCTCTGGAAAGTGAAATGATGCTAATGATCACCACTTAAGAGACTGGCCATTATGAACTTACACCGTGGTGTTCTGCAAAGCACATCGTACCATAAGGATATTCTGTTATTACACACAAGCTTTTGTGTGTAATTTGGTGGAGAACACTAGCGATGTCAATTCAGAGGTCATCAAGCCATGGCTGTTTATTATGTTGGTGATTGTACAGCAGCAGCCTGTAAGTGTAAAGTATCTGGGCTTCCAGGGAGGAAAAGGTAAAGAGACTTTGGTCTAGACTTTGGTTTGCTAAGTATTCCTAGGTCTTATGTGGTGTCGTTTCTAGATAATAGTCCTTTTGGCCCTGAACAAACAGATAAAAAAAAACAAATAACAAGAAACAAATATGAGAAGCTTCAGAAATCAGCTGTCAGTCCTTCTTAAATTTTCACTCTGTCTTATCTATTCACTAATAGATTCTGCTTTCAAGAAAGCTAGTGTTTTTCCTCTGGATATTTGGTGCTGTTATTGCAGGTATTGAGATATTTGACTTCCCTACCATCATTTGTATATGTTTTTGTATATATGTGTCGTATATGCACACACAGAGGCATGCACACATGCATGCACACATTTAATTTAAACAGCTATCCTGAGCTTCTGGAACATGGGAGAAGGAGGAATAAAAAAGCAATAATATTGTCTTGGATATTTAGAAAACTGAAATTTGGGCCATGGGTTTCATGTAAAGTCAACTTTGATATTATACTTACATCTGCGTTAAGTGTAGGCTTAATTGATTTGTTTTTTTTTCTCTGCAGATGAAATACGCTGCTACTTTGGTGAAACCATTGCTCTCTATTTCGGCTTCTTAGAATACTTCACATTTGCACTGGTTCCAATGGCTGTCATTGGAATTCCATATTACGTGTTTGCATGGGAGGACTATGATAAATATGTGATGTTTGCCACATTCAATCTCCTTTGGTCCACTGTAATCCTGGAAGTTTGGAAGCGGTTGTGTGCAGTGATGACGTACCGCTGGGGGACCCTGCTGATGAAGCGCCAGTTTGAAGAACCGAGGCCAGGATTCCATGGTGTCCTGGGAGTAAATCCCGTCACCGGGAGGGAGGAACCAGTGTACTCCAGTATTAGAAGACAGTTACGAATTTATCTGGTATCCTTGCCATTTGTGTGCCTTTGCCTCTACTTCTCCCTGTATGTGATGATGATTTACTTTGACTTGGAGCAGTGGGCTCTGGATTATCACAAGGAGAATGAATCTAACTTCAGCAGCTTGATGCTGTTTGTTCCCAGCATCATCTATGCTATTGTGATTGAAATCATGAACCGCATCTACCGGTATGCTGCTGAATTCCTAACATCATGGGGTAAGAAACATATTTACTCTTCCTTTTGCTTAGAAGTGTAGAATTCCCTTGAATGTAGAATGTTTAAGATTTAGTAGTCTTAGTAGAATACATTATGTATGCATGCGTAGACTATGTATGAGTTCTTGTTCACTGGGAAAAGAGGGTCATTTTAACTTACGTTTCTTGTTTCCAGTATACTGAGGCTGCAGTTTCAGTTTGATTTGATTTGTGTCTGGGCTGCTGACAAGAGGGATGATTCTATCTTCCCTCTAATGCAGAAGTTCCCCTTCCCTGTTTTTCCTTTGTTTGGCAGTATTAGCCATAGTGTTGACAAAAGAGAAGAGGTTACAATGTAAGAATTCAGAATTCAAAGCTGGATGGTAGGAAGGACTGTCCTGACAGCTCACATCTGGAGTGCTGTGAAACAACAATCTCAATTTGATGAATATATCTTAGTCTACTCATAAAGCCTTAGAGAAGACAGACACTGAGTTAGCAGCATAAAAATCTACAAACATTACTAAATTGTGCTATGTGGAATTGTGTGCATAGGATACATTAAAGATCAACATTTCACTTCCCTACCAGAGATTTTGCCATTAGGCATCCTGAAAAAAAGGAGGAATGTTGTAACATTGCTTTCATTTTTTCACTCTGTGTACTTGATTATATATAAAGATTGGGCCTTATGTTTTGTTATCAAGCATCACCATAGTGAATTGATAGTGGTTGTTTTCAGCCTTAGCACTTCTATGGACATGCACACTCAATTTCAGACCACATTAATAGATGAAGCTAATGCACATTTAAGTGGTTTGTGTAGCTCAGCATCATGATTTCACTTAGAATGAAATACAGATCATTGAAGGTGCAGACCCAGAAAATTAACCTGAGACAGACTAAGGAGAAGGGAATAGAGAAGACAAATGGAAAGTAGTTTGGAAGCAGGGGTTAGTTATAGGTTAGTTATGTGCGCCAAAGTCATTTGCTCAGCAAGTTGAACCTGATAGCATCCGTAGTAAAGGAAAGCAAGCTCTTAATTTGCTTATGACTGTCCAAAGATTACTTTGGACTTTTAACATTAATTAGTAAAGTCGTATGTGAGTCTGAGTTGACTGCCTTGTTTCATTTTTTTATTATATTGCAAGGAAAAGCCTTTATGCAAAATGCCAAGTTGTGCTGATCAGGCAGACTGAAATGCTTTGAAGAGGTAACCATGTTAGCTTGGGATATGGAAAAGGATAACTTTGTTTATGTGGTGTCCTACCCCAGGTAGTTAGCCTCTATTTTATTGCTTAATAACTTAATAGGAACACTGTGCTAGCATGGCAGTACTTGTGCTGACACCTGAGATCATCGTTCTGGCTGCACTCACAAAAACGTGCTGAGTTGACGTCCTGCCCTCACTAAAAAGGGGGGCTCCCACTTCGAAGGTCCTTCCTTCTTTCCCCCATTCCTTGTTCCTGGCAGCATGCTTCTAGCTTATTCATGGCCCTTAGGTTTTTTGGACTCTTGTGTGAGTCATACTCACCTGGAGAAAAATTACTGGGAGAGGGTGGAGTAAGAGTGGGAAAGAAGTTGGGTTAATGGATTTGCTCATGGGAGTGTTTGACAAATGGTAGAGTTAGAACTAGCAATTCCTGGTTTGAATCCAACTCTGTACCGTTATTTTTCATAACACGTTATGATCAGTTTTGCATTTGATTTCAACCGAAGGAAAATAGACTAGGCACAATTTAGTGCTGAGTAGTGACTTCTTTTTTTCGGTTATAAAACAGCTGTCCTAAGTAAGAAAGATATTGTGAGAGAGAGAGAGACTTCGCAGTAGAAAAAAACACTAGTGCTGTAGCCAAAAATAGTGTATCAGTATTGTATATCAGATGCACGTAACAGGTTGAAGTGAGATACTGGTACAGCATAAATTCTTTTCCCCAGGAAGTGTTGCGGGATCAATTCCCTAAAAACAATTCCTTAAATAGTTTCTAAATAGAGGAAAAATGCTTGTTAACTTTTTTGAATAACTTGGTATCTGATAAATGATATGTGCTTTTGCTGTTTGCTAATTAATAATTTTGTTAATATTTTAGAAAATCACAGGCTGGAGTCTTCATATCAGAATCACTTAATTCTGAAGGTTTTAGTAGTAAGTATGTAGTGTAAGCGGCTTTTAAAGTTTATTTAAAATGACTACTTGTTATATGTCGTATTAATGCTTTCCTAGCATTCCCTGTCTGTCTATAAATCTATGTAATCTCAAATGCTAGCATGAAAATCAGGCAAATAGGAAAAAAACTTTCTCCAATTTCAGAGCTTGATTATGATTTTCATTAAAATATTTAAAAATAAAGAATGTTTCTCTAAGTCATAAAACATCTAGAGTTGAATAAAGATAAAATACAACTAACATTGTATTGGAATATAACTGTACATAGTAAGAGCTGTATAGTACACTGGATATGTTTTGATAAAATAATTCCTTGAAAACTTAAGACCAAAATGAGTCCCTTTTATTGCATTGCTTCTGTGAAAATTGCTCCAAAAAAAGATGTTAAGTAGATGGTGACAGGTAATTTTAATGTCCATATTTCATAATTGAAGTATAGTTCTCCTTGCTTGTAGACACTGCTTGAGGAAAGCAGTAAGCTTACCTACTCAAAATATGAATAGGATAAATATAAAAAAAAAAAAAATCTAATCTAAATGTTAAAAATGGTAGAAAATATTTTAATGGACTGTTTTGATTTGCATGGAAGCTATTATTATTAAAGTTAGATGATATTCTGTAATTGTTCTCAGGTCATGAACTTTAGATTGAGTAGTAATAACAAATATTTTTATTTTCAGTTCAACTTCTTAAATTGTTTTGCATCTCTGTTCTACATTGCTTTTGTCCTGTTTGATATGAAGCTTTTGAGACAGGTGAGTTCCAAGAGCATCTGAGAATACTGGTGCAGCTAGGAAACTAAAGGATTGATTGAAGTTTTAAGATTTGTTTTTCTAAGTATATTGTTACATTCATTTTCATGCTAATATTTTCTTAAATTCCAGTTCCATATTTCATTTCCTTCTGCACAGTTGCAGAAGAATAATACAACAAGATAGAATAATTCTTTCCTTCTGTGTAAACAAATAATTGTTTTCAAATTAATTGATTATTCCCTGGCATGAAAGGCTGGAAATTTTCATTTCCTCATTCTTTCTACATTAGAAAATGTTCTTCTTGAGGCACTTGCTAAATTTATGTCTACAGTGAGTGTCTACTGAGAATAAATGAGGAGAAAAATAATTTGATTTCTCTAAAGAAATCTTCAGAAAAAGTAGGCCCGAGAGTATACAGTGGGAGCAGCCCTGAGGGTAAACAAGGGGAGTAGGACTGAGGGTAAACAGGGAGTAATAAGCCTGAGGGCCTACTGATGTAGGTTAAAAAGGCAGGTTACGAGTGATAAAATTATCATAATCTCATGGAGTATTGAATGTCTTAAAGATTACAGAAAAATGACCTTAATTTGCTTTACATTTTTCCAAAACTTTTTCAATTTTTTTCTGAAATATTGTTGAAAGAAGTACAATTATTGTGAGTTATGTAATCAGAAGGAAAACATCGTTCTTGTTTAGGACATCTCCTGTAGTGCTTGAGAGCTGTTGCTGTCCCTACTTCATAGCAAGGTCTTTTCTGTCAATACCATCCAGATGGCCGTTCTCAGGGTCTGTCTAAATATGGTTTTTCCTGAGAACAGGCCCCACCCTGGTGCGTTCACCTCCCTATTTGTTCCCTCTTGTTCTCCTCCCATTGCTTTTCAGTGTTTTTTTTTTCTCAGTTCAACTCTCTCATTCCATCAGTTTATCTCATTCCATCAGTTTATCTCAGAAAGAAAACAAGGTGTATAAGCCCACTCCAAAGTACTGCTGTTTGATTTTTCCTGTTTTAATCATGTTTGAATTGTTTTATGTATTCATAACATTTGTCTTAAGTAGTATTTTGATATATAGAAGACACAAGGTCAAACTGTAAGTGACCTAGGCATAGAGTGAGGGTAAAGAGTGATTTGGAGATCAATCTGAATGCGACTCTGTGCCACGTGCTCTGGGTGTCCCTGCTTGAGCATGGGGATTGAACTAGATGATCTCTAGAGGTCCCTTCCAACCTCAACCATTCTGTGAATCTGTGAGGCACAAATAATCCCCTGTGTATTTTCCAAAGCTCTACACAGTGATAATTCCTTTTTTTTTAAGAGATTTAATTTCTCTTGCCTGAGAGACTGATAAGCTTTTTGTGTAATTCCACTGGTATTGTTGGTATGTGTGCACCTTTACCCTACATTGAACTTTGTAGAAGTTGGAGAACCAGATTCACAGAACATTTAGGTATCCAACCCCTATTTAGCCCTTGTCAGCAGACAGCAAAGAATGGGACCTGGAGCAGCTATTCTCATTGTATACTGTTTTTTGGATTTGGTGGGTGGTCTGCTTTCTCCTGCCATAGCCACTTACAGCATTACTGAAATGCACAAAATTTGAATGCTGATAGGTTTATCACAGATGTGTTAATTTCTTTTTTTTTTTTTCTTTTTAGAGCTTGGCCACTTTGCTGATAACTTCACAGATCCTTAATCAGTTTGCAGAAGCCTTCCTGCCTTACTGGCTTCAAAAGAGGCATAAGAAGAGGATGAAGAAAAAGATGTATTCACAGAAAACAGATACGGACCTTTCATTAGTTGAGCAAGTCAACTTGGAGAAAGAAATGGGCACTTACTTTGTATGTTGTATATGTATTGTTATAGTAGAGATTGTTAGATTGTAGGCTGCTGAAAAGCAGCCTCAGTGTGGTGCTTTGGAATTGAAAAAAGATATTTTATTTTTGAAGGGAATTTGAATATATGTTGAGAAGATTAGGGGTTTGAACAGTGGTCACAATAAGTTCCTTGGAAACATAAGAGCAAAACACAGTAAGAAGTTGTTTGCTCTCATTACAAAATGTGCTAGCATTTTTTTGTTTCTGAAATGTTTCATAATTTCAGTCTTTTTGAGTAAGCTACTCTTCTGGACACCCCTTTAGTGTCAAAATTATCCCTTGCAAGTGAAAGTGCAAGTGAAAGCCCCATGTTTTTTCTTATGGGTGGGACCTTGTGATTCTTTACTTCATAATCAAATTTTTTAGTGCATTGACCATATGCCAGCTGCTGTGTTTGCCAGACTCAGCAATGTAGGGAGGTTTTAGAGTTTCCTTTCCATAATGTATCAATATTTGCAGAGTTCTATGAAACAAAATATATTCCCTCTTACTAAGAGGTAGATGCTATTCAGGACACTCTTAAATAGAAACTTCTATTCCTATCAGTAGTAGCACTACCTGCACGTCTTAAAAATCATCTAGCTTATTTATTTTTCACCACATCTCCTGATTGTTTGTTGCTCTGTCTGTCAGCAGTTTCTGCGTTTGTGTCTCCCTTTAGCATGGGTTTAGAGAATGTTTATTCCTTACTTAAATCTGACATTCTGGCTCAGTCCCACGGATGTTTATACTGTCACAATTGAAGCTGAGGCTGTATGAACTGCGGTATTTGTAGGCTTCTGCAGTTTTGTCCTCATGGTCCCAGCTATATTTCTGGCACTCTCTTGTGCTAGATCTCGCAGACAGCTTAGTCTTCACTAAGATGACATCAGAAATCTGACATAGAAAACTGACTAGTTTTTCTGGCTATAGTTGACAACTGCATGAGCCAGTGCAGCCTAAATGAGCGTTTGTCTGTTGTCTGGCCTGGCAGCTTATTTCCAGCTTCTTCGCTCTTCTGCTGTCAGTATTGTTTTTTACAGCTGTATGGTGCACTGGATCAGGAAGCTGGGAAAGAACAGCTGAACCTAAACAAAGTTTAAACAAAGTATACCTGAAAGAAATATATGTGTAATATATGCCTTGAGTCTTCAAGGGACAAGGAATCAATCACTTGGCATGGTCATGAGAGGACTGTTCTGATTTAGGTTTTTTGGTTTTTATGTTTTATTTTTTTCTTCTCAGTGATGATAACTTAAGGTTATCAGTGGATCTGCAGCGTGAATGGAATGGGACACTATTATGTGGGGCTGGGAACAGGAATGAGGGAGGTTCTTGAAGCTAGTATTACTGCTTGAAGCTCTTGCTTTTTGAAACTACAGACTACACACTCCTCCTCCTTCCTGGTTGTATTCCAGTTGCATTAACCTCCTACCTGTTAACTTGCAGCAAACCAGGCAGCATCAAGATGAGACAGTTTTTTCTTTGTTGTTTTTAAGATTTAGCAACTACAAATTTAGTTTCCTCCTTATCATGAGCCAAAAAAATTTAGGACATAATTACATGGCCCTATTATCACTGATAATTTATCTCAGAAAATGTATTTCCCAGTAAATTATCATCCCTTCATCCTCCACTTACTGCTTTGAATTTTGTTTTGGGGTTTTGTATGTTTTTATTGTGTTTAACTGACAGTGGAATTCATGCCTTACTTTTCTGTAGGAGGTGATAAAATGGATGTCAGTGTGTATGTTAAGGCTATGCAGACTAAGTGGCCGACTTGCTTGTTCAGATGCTGCAAGCAGTCATCAGAGTTTTAAACTGATATATACTTCCACAGAATAGGAATTATATGTAAATATTGTACCCTTTATGTGAAAGGTAGCAAATAGCACAGTTTGACATTTGTTTTTAATGTGGTATCAGATTCCTTTCTTCCTGCTTAAAGTGCCTTGAATTAGGAAGATGAAAAAGAAATACTACCTTTACAGCTGGAAAATTGTGTAAATATTAATACTTTCATTCTTATGGGAGTGCTGGAATTTCTTGCATTTTATACAGTAGGAAATAGATATACAGCCAAAGAGCGTACCTGTATCTCACAAGGGAGAACACAGCAGAAATCCCCAAATTAGTATCTGTCAGAGCCTGGCAGTTCGGCACCATGCCATGCACGTACACCAGGGCGTTTCCAAAGCTGTGTGTTGGTGCTTGGCATGGATTGTACCTGACCTAAAGGGCAGTAGCCCTCAGACCTGAGTGTCTCTGGTCTTGAGGGGACCCAGCAAGCAGGGCAGTGGTGGAGTTATGACTTGACTTTGGAAGCATACACTTGAAGTCTCAGTTTTAGTTTAAGGTGTTGTGTCTTTACGGCCTCAGTTTATTTCTGATCTGAAGGATTTAAATTGTTCTGTGTGTGTGACTGGGCAGTATAAAAAGAGTTTTGTTCTCAAGCAGTGAGCTGTTAGCAAGTAATAGTATTTCTATGATTACATCTGTCACAAGGGGGAAGCATTTGACTATATTTAGTAAGTAATATTTGCAGGCATCTTGACAGAATTCTGTATTTCAGTCCCTTTTTTGTTTTTCTTCCTTTACTTTCTATTTGATATTTAGTTTTTCTTTTACATTTGTCCTTTTTCTCTCTCTCAGATATCTCTAGACCTTAACTCTGCTTAAGATCTGAAAGCTTCAGTCTGTCTTTTTTATTATGTTGCTTCTCTGCTAGTTCATTTTCTCCACAAATTTCTTTTGTTTTGTTTCTTTCCTGCTATGGTTTGTTATATGCTGCTTTCTCACTGGGAGAAGGAAAGAAGAGCAAGTTGATGATAGCACAGTTTGAATTTTGTTCTTAAAATTGAATCATACTCTTATTTTCATGCATAAAATATCACAAATTAAGTAGGGGAAAGATAAGCACTCTTCTTTTATCTGTGCTCTGCTGTGTTGAGAGTCACAGTTGAGTACAGTCTAAGGAAATGTGAGGAAGTAAATGAGAGGAAGCAGCAGGAATAGCCTGCGGTTTCCAGAAGGAGGAACAGAAGGGGAAGCTTTGCTCCTTGCCTGCAGCACACGCCTGAGAAGGTGACAGCAGGGACAAATATGTGACTGTCACTCTAGTGAATGTTGCTGCCCAAATGTCCTTAGGGAGATCTAGATCTAGCTGAAACTCTTGAGTTCATGTGAAACATTTCTGGGGAAAAATCTAAATGGTTTTAAAGGTTGAGTAGTTTTTTGAGGTCTAGCATGCAGAGCAGTTTATGCTATGTTCTTTTGTAAATAAATGCTGCAGTCAGGGAGAACTGTTATTAATATTATAAAACACACATATAAACATGTCTTACAACCTACCTGTATACACTTAGCAGTTAAGAACTCATGCTCTTGGTTCCAAGATCACGTGATAGATGCTTTGCAGTTTTGGCAAATACTGGCTTTGCTGGAGCTCATTATTCCATTTAGATGACAGTGCTGAATCCTGTCATTGCAGCCTCCAAGTGGGGAACTAATTCTGATCTACCATTTTAAAATAAACAAGCAGAAATACCAGAAAAAAGGTCACCTACCTCCCAAACTACCATTTTGGTTAGGACTTTCATAGTCTAAGTTATTAGGAATCCTGTCATCATGCTGCTGTTATGAGAATGTTCTGCCTGTTTAAATATATGCTGCTGTTTTCCTGTCCCATATTCTTTCAATGACTTTAACTGACATACTCAGGAGCTTGAATAGAGATGACTCTGTTCAGTTGCTTCCTCTAATAAGGACAAGTAGTGTGAATATTGCAGAAAGTGCATTAGACGAGAAGAAAAACTCAAATTTCTATGAGGTTTAGGATAATTAATAATTCCAAAATAACTGTAGGTAGCATCTTTTGTTTTCTGTCACAAGAGACTTGCATAAAAACTGATTAGGAGTGAAGAAGCTTGCATAAGATTGTATTTTTAATTCTGTTTTCTTCATATGTTTTTGGTGTGGATAAAAGGTATTCTTTTTTTTTACCCTTATTTTTCAGGGTACTTTTGATGATTACTTGGAGCTGTTCTTACAGTTTGGCTATGTGAGTCTGTTCTCATGCGTTTACCCATTGGCAGCCGTCTTCGCAGTGCTAAACAACATCACAGAGATCTACTCTGATGCCTTAAAAATGTGTAGAGTTTACAAGCGTCCGTTTGCAGAACCCACAGCGAATATAGGTGTTTGGCAGGTAACTTTTGCTTATTTGTAATTTTTTTTTGCTATTAAGTGAAGAATCACCAAATATGCTTAAACTACGTGTTTGACCCATCTGTGTTTTTTAAATTTTAATAGGTTTGTTGTCAGTCTTTCTTCTTCAGTGCCTTAAGATACAATCCAACTGTGCTTATTGTTATAGAGTTTCCAGGCATGTGACATTTTCACTTGTCTTTGGAAAGAAAAAAAAATCCTGCCTGTAGTCCCTAAATATGTATATATTGTACTACTGTTGCAGTTGTAAGAAGGCAAGGCTGCCCTACACTGTCAGGTACTCTTTGCAGCCTATGAATTAGTCTTGGAAGCACAGAGCTCTGCAAGGGTTTAAAAAACTGAACGTGGGTTAAGTGCTTGGACACCTAACCATGCTGAGCTATGTGCTCTTTTATGGTTAAGCTAGCTGATTTAAATCTAATAATTTAAATCAAATTTTAACATGTGAGCTTATGACTGAATTATAGGCACAGATTGAAGAAGGAGTCTTGCTAAATAATTTCATGCTGGTAGTGCTGGGTTGAGTGCTGGGATTTCCTGTTCCCCGTTGCTTGATTCATTAATTGTTCTAATACTGACAAGTTTGGGGCCTGCTGATGAGATGGTAGCAGAGTACTGATCCAGACTGAAAATAACCCCGAAAAACCCTTTCCAAAACCAGAGGGTGCCATGAGAAAAAAAAAAAAAAAAGATATTAAATCATATCTAGAGATTTTAGTGATCTGATAATGAGTGTGAAGTAAGTAGAAGGAGACATCTAGGGGATGGTTATTTCTGATTTTGCTTAGCAACTCTTCCAGTGATATATACAGGAGACAAAGGGCACAATAATTTTTCCTTATTTTGGAGATGTTGTAAATGTTGTTCACAAATGAAAAAAATGGAAAATAGCAAAGGTGAAATCAGGAAATATATGAAACATGTATTGTAAAAAGGGCAAACTAATTATTCTAAACTCTGTTAATTAGATCTATATAGAAATTAATGAAATGAAATTATAGCAGAAGGGTTTTAATATTAAAAGGCATTAAAATGTGTAAATAAAAACCTGACTATATTTTAATATCTTGTGCATTCTGTCAGTCCAAGTCTATGCTGTCAACATCTTGATGGCCTAGCTGTATTGGTCAGAAGTGTGATCACTGGCTTAATGAGGCTGTGGTTGTGCCTGCTCCCTACCCCAAATTAGAGGAAGAGCTCAGAGTTGCCAGGGGACCTTTGTGATTTTCTAAAACTTGTTATCAAACAATCCTATGTTACAGAGCTCTAAGGATTAAAGAAAAAGTTAAAATAATGGCCCTCCTGATGATCAGAAGAATAGAGAGGGATTTCTCAAAGCAATTTGGGGATTGGTAAATGACAGAAAATGGTCATAACTGTAGTCTCATTTTGCTTTATTTCAGCTGGCTTTTGAAACTATGAGTGTCATATCAGTGGTTACTAACTGCATATTAATAGGGATGTCTCCACAAGTGAATGCCCTTTTCCCAGACTCAAAAATGGACCTCATTTTGACTGTGGCATTTGTAGAGGTAGGTCTGACTTCTAATACTAAATATGTTTTAGTAGCAAATAACATTCACAACATTTACAATGAAATTATACCAGGCAGTAGATCTATTTTCTTCCATTAAAAAGAATGAAAATTTCACTATTAGACATGCTTCAAAGTCTTGCCTTTTAATCTGTGCTTTATGTGTTCTCATGTAGTGTGAGTTGGCAACTATTGTTACCATACTTCTTCATGCAGCATTTCACAAAACACTATGTATTTGTTGCTTCATGTATTTCAAGAAGAATTTAATACACGAACTGGATATTCCTCTATTTAGTTCATGACCCGAGGCTATCTATTAGGACCCTTCTATGTCAGCCTTAGAGTTGCTACCTGTAAGGCTTATCAAAAAACCGTTTAGAGATAAGCAGTGTCTTTTGAAAGTAGTACCTGTGTGGTCAGCTTTAAAGTTATGTAATTCAAAGCTGTGTAAACGTGTTCTGTGTAATCACTGAAATCACAAGATTTTGTCCTTAGGTATCTTTGGGAACTTTGTTGTTTTGCACTGTTTTGACTTTAAGCTTGTTGTTTAGCTCTTAAGAATTGCATTACTTTTCTGGGACAAATCTATGTCTAGTTTCTGAATTGCCTTGTAAGCATCTAACAGGAGCACATACATACATTTTTGTGATGACTATTACAAGGCTATGCAATGAATTATGAGCTTGCTTTGAATTTCACTTTCTAGGCTTTAAGGCTGGCAGAGTTAACTCTGAAAATATGAAACAGATGTCACCTGGCTTAGTGACTTGCAAGTCTTCTGACAATCTAGTGTATTCATATATCAGTCATGTGTGATCATTTGCATTAAGCTGAATGAAGTACTTTTTAATATAAAACTATTTTGGGCAATTTAACTATAATATTGTAATTAGATTATTTGTCGGCAGCATATCCAGACACATTATACTATGAAAGTACATGACTAAATATAAGTGGAGTTTTTTTTTAATGTCAAGCAAGCTACCTACCTTGTGGTTAGGCCTCTCCTTCTTGGTAGGCTGTAAGAAAGAGAATGCCGGTATTTTTTCTCTCCAAATTTAAATCTTGCTTATGTGCACTCCTTTAGAAGATAGAACATAAAGCATGATGATGAGGTGGCTCTAGGAATTCCTTTTTTGTATTATGTCAAAGACTGATGCTGAATGGGGCAGGGTTTATTACAAGCTATTTATTGTCCAAAAATGGAGGACAAACCCCAGAAAAATCTTTTAATACCATTTAGATATACTGTTTCCAGCATTGTATATCATGTGATTTGGATCATAAATAATTCCCAAGCTGTTAAGAATGAAAGTTAAAGTTTTTCCAGTTGCCTGAGGTTCAGTCTTTCTGTATTTTTTAAAACTTCCAATATTGAACAACTTTACAGGCTTTGGATTTTTTTTAAGACAGAGGATCAGAAAATAGTATAGGGGATACAATTTTGCAATAAATTTGTGCCATGAATTATGAATTTCATAGAGTTTTTGGAATCCAAAAGAGTTTTCTAAGTGAAACAAAATCTATATAATATACAAATGTTTATCAAAGATATACATAACTATATAATTTTATATATAAATTTTATCTCTAAAAATGAGCACAGTTGTGCTTTTCACATCTTTTGAAGACAGCTTCCATTGGCACTTAAATGTGTTCTTAGCTGCAGGAATAATTTTTATCAGTAGTCGTCTTTTCAGGTTAAAGCACTTCTTACAGTAGTTAAAGAAGGGAGAATGACTAGATGTTGTGGTCCCACGATCAGGCTCAGCAGCAACAGGAATTGATGGCAAACTAAAGAAATGAGGCTATTTATACCTCTGCTTCCTGAGTGTTTATTTTGACTTTATCCATTATACTCCCACTGTCTTTTGTCTGGTACATGGTGAATTGAGTGAGTGAACCGGGTTTGTGCTGGGTTCAGCTAATGGGACTTTAGCACCACTGACTTCCTCTAGATGAGGAATAGTAACTAGGATGTGAGTGCAAGTCTCGTGTATTGGCAGTATTCCCATACACTTCTCCTGTCTTCCATAAAGATTATACTATGCAGTAGTAAAAACTGATTTGATGAATAAATGTATTACACTGATCCTCTCACACAAACCTGGTGCATTTGAACCCATCAGTGCCCAGGTTGAAGAGGAGCTCCCTGTTCCCAGGGAGCGTGTTGATGCGCTGGGGTTTAGAAATGGCAGCAGCAGAGAGCATCTCCTAGAGATGCATGATTCATATAGAGGAGCTGCATCTTACTTTCTGATACCTGCTGCAGATGGAATGAGAATTTTATGGTGTGTTAAAACTGTACTGACAACACTTTGATGGGCAGTGTGAAAAAGTTGAGAATTGCATTTTTTATTTTATTTTTTCTAGTAGGTTACATGTTGCTTTCACTTGTTCAGTTGCTGCGGCAGATACCCTACTTAAAATCTTAACTGTCACCAAGTATTTTTATAAGGTTTCAAGTAAATGAGACTCCAGATGAATATTTTTATCACTACTTGATTTAAAAACTAAAAAACATCTTTCTTGTTTACCAGATCCAAGCATTGTTAATAGCACTATTCGAATTTTTAAAAAAGTGCTATGTAGGCATACATACCAGTGGCTGTTACCAACCACTACTCATTAAACATGCTAATCAATTCGTAAGAATAATAGTATGATATTTGAGGAGTTGGCAGTGTTTTGTTTTGTTTTTTTTTTTTAATACAGTTGACCTGTTTTCATCAATCCAGTGTTTGCTTCCATGGCAACATGATCTGAACCAGGAGCAGGATCGTAGAACTCCCTTCTTTTATTTACAGATGGATGCTAAGTGCAGCAAAGGCAATTTTCAAACAAAGGCGTAGGTGGATGTCCTTCAAGCACAAAACAATAGGCTCTAATTAACAATGTTTTAAAAATACTGACATTCCCTAGTGCCTTTATGTCTTCTACTACTATAACAGTTGAGTCCAAGAATTCAGCTGCATATACAGCTATTAGTATTAGTTTTTAAGTCAGTTTTTTTATAGGTGTACCGTGAAGCAGTGGCTGTAAAGCATAACTTCACCATCTTTGAATTTGGCTTTCCAGGTATCCTGCAGTCAAGTGTAGTGCAGCAATTGGAAAGCTTTTAGGCAGAGGTGAACTTCGCCTGCCTCTTCCACATCACATCCAGCCATTTGGGGATTAGCTGGGAAATATTAATAACTGAGAGCCCTCTTGCTAGCTGCAGTATCTATAGCTGCGCTATCTATAGCTGCAGTATCTATAGCTGTAGTATGAAACCTGAGTAGGACAGACAGTCTGTATAGCAAAACTAGGAAAACAGGTAATTGAAGTTCATTAATAAAACTGAAAAGCTCTTCCAGTGTTGTCTTACAGTGTTTTAGATACTCCAAAACCAAAGTGGATTAGAGTTGCCTGGGGTACTTGCTTTTCTCTGGAGTTATATTTTAATAGGTGTATTCCTTTCTCAAATCCCTCCTGGTACAGAGTAGAAGCTTTTGAGCTTCTACTGAGCACTCAATATAATGACCTCAACACTCAAATGAGCCCAGCAATAAACTTGAGAATTCTTTCTGAGATGGTAGGGCAAATAAATGGGGAAACAGGGAGTCCCGCAGTTCAGACTGTAGTAGGTGAGAAGGTATATTTATGATCTGGTTCTAGGTATCACTTTTTCTTTGCTCTCTAGATAAAATGCAGAAAGACAAACAAAAAAAGTAGAGTTTTGAAAATATAAAATGTCCATAATTTCACTTTTAATATAGTAGGAAAAAGTGCTTTCACTTTTATATTGCATGTTAGGCAGATTGCCTAGTGCAACTCAGTTTATTCTTTCTGTCTACCATAAGAGCAGTCTATCGCTATTTTAATTTCAGCTTGAAGCCCTGTTAAAAATTATCACCAGATATTGAAGTTTCTGAAGGTTACTGTGGTTTAAAGATTTTATGAAGTATACTGATTCTTCAGTTTACTCTTTGAAAACATTTGAAGAGTAAAAATCAAGTTTTTTATATCCAGACACTGAACTTTGGAAAAGATTCTCAGAATTGCAGGTTTAATTTCAGTGTAAAGATCTCAACTATTTTAGGTATGCTTATCTTCTGTGTAACATGGGAACAGATTGTTCTCATTTATTTTTTTCTCCCATCAACAAGAGATTTAACCTTTCAAATTAAGAAGAGTTACAGATTTATCTTTCTTAAAAATTAAATATGTTTGTCATTGAAGCAAATCCCTGATCAGTGAGGTCAAAATACGACAATTAAAATATGATGCTGGTGCTGCACTAACCTGATGTGTACTTATTTCCAAATTCAAGGTTTATTGCAGACCTTTTCACCGCCATCTAGTGTTTCTTCTGAAATAATCATGCTAGTTTAGGATAGATTTTTTTTTGTTACTCTAGATAGTAAAGAATAATGACAAAAGCCTTTCAGTTTGAAAACAAACATTAAAGAATTAAATTCAAAGATCTAAGTAGATTGTATTCGGCTATTGTGGGAATGAAAATACATATGAACATATATCTGCTCTTTACTAATCCAATGGCTATTTGAAAACCTTTCCTAACTTACAGCCTAGTTGTTCGTCTTGTGAGCTTGTTAGTCATTTTGACTTGTTCCTTTTAATTTTCTGTTCTTTGCTCAAAACCTTCCATTTTTTAACTTCCAAGATAGCAAATGGAGAAGCTGAAGAGACTCACAGAGATGAATTATGCTGTTTGAACTGTGCACAAATACTGAAACCTGTTAAACGTGTGGGTATGCACAGTAAACTGTAGGACAGCTGCTAGCCGCTCTATCACGCTGAGTTTTTCAAATTCAATAACAGAAGTGTTCTCATACATTTGTTTTCCTGTTGGGTCTACCTGGAGTATTGTGTTTCCAGAAGAATTTTTCTTCTTTGCTTAGGGTGCCACAGCTCAGAATGTGATTGTAAACATATCTTGGTGGTAAATGTCAGCTGTGATGTACAAAAAATTAATATTTTTTCCTATCAGAT